ACCAAATTTTAGCCCAATCAGACCATAAATGACTGCCCAAACGTAGAAGAAAATCAAACTAGTCACTTTAGGGAATAAAAACATGAACAATAACTTCAAACTAAAAATATCAAAAATCCAGCCATCCAAGAATGATCTCCATTGTTCAAAATAAAGAACAGTGAGTCCTCTAAATACACCACCAAAGTTTAGCCTAATCAAAATACGGATGGCCTTCTGATCGTCAGAAAAACCAAAACTGATCGGATGTGATTTTTCCAGCAAAAATCCCTTTTCTCTCCCTTTTTGTTCTCTTTCTTTTTGGTGGCTTAAACATATCTTAACAATAACTTAGGGTTAAAGTGGTATAGGGTAAAAGTATTAATAGCCCTAATGGGCTAAAAGAAGTGGGCTGAAAACAACATGGGTTTTCCCACATAGGAGGGAACCCAAAACCCAACCCAATAAATCTTATGTTATTTATAATCTATATATCCCAAACTTTTCATAAACTCCAAAATCGAATTATTTGGATTAGAATTAAAGAAGATATGAACTTTTTTAAATTCAACATTGTAGAAGAACACAAATTGCATACAATAACTTTTTAGTCACGCTTTTTTTATTTTTTAACAACCATTTAACCTTTAAACTATTATATTTGTAACTTATATTTCATAAAATTTATATAGATAATAAGATTACATGATTTCTATGAAAATTAAAGAAATTATAAATTTTGAAAACTTAGGGTTACAAAAAATTATAAACTGCATAGCAACAAGATTCTCAGCCATTTTGTGATCTTTTTTGGCTTAATATTCAATCATTAAACTAAGTATACCATATGTGTAATAAGCTTTTTAGACATAAAGGTTGTATAATTTGAATGAAAATTGATAAAAGAATTTTTAAATATTTAGGATTGTTAGAAAAACTCAAATCATAGCAGTAGTTTTGCGATTCTTAATCTCTATTTTTTAATTTTGATTGATTTATTCTTCTAAATTATAATTCTACATGTCTAACTTATAGGTATATAAGAGTCATATATAATTTAATCTGTACTTGAAAATTTGAATTTTAAAATTAATTGCATGTTATACAAATATGATTATCTAAATCTTAATTTTTAGTGATGACTTTAGGATGTTATACTATTATGGTTGAAATTTTATGGAGATTTAGATTTGGTCATATATTACATACTAGAGTTTTATTTGGTTGTATAAAAAAAAATTTTAATTTTTGAAGTAATAAGTTTGTATTAAATCTCAAATAATTTGATCGAGGGATAGAAAACAAAGAGGCACTTGGCTCAATAAGAAACAAAAAAGCAATGAGAAAGGAAATGCATATGGCTTGAAGAAAGGAGGAAAGTATTTTCTTTATAGTGATGGTACTCGACTCAAGAAGGATAGTAAAGTGAAGAAGCTTTATATTAACCTACCAATAGAGGAAATATAAGAGAAATGAAATGCGAGGTTTTGAGGATAAAAATTTGAAGTAAAAAAGGTTCGAAGGGGGCTTTTTGGGGGAAGAAAATTATAAAAAGTTGGGATGATCTTTTTGGTGGCTCATGGATTTGACTAAAAAAAGAGCATTTGAGAAACAATAATGGAAGAAACGATAAGCAAAACCTAGATGGAGAATTGGAGACTTTTTAAATAATTGAGCTATTTTGGAAAAAGAGGAAGATGAAGTTTTAAAAAACAAAATTAGTGATAAAGAAAATAGAGTCAAGAGGGAGAAAGCGTAGGGAGAAAAAGGGAAAGTGATAGACGTCTCGTTCTCTTGAAGATGAAAAAACCAGTGAAATAGAAAGGTTGAAGATCTAAAGTTTAGTATATGTTCCTAATCTTTTTCTTTCTGTCTATATTTTCATTTAAGTATTTTAATT